CCAGATATTCGACTCGAAGGCCCATTTCTTGTGTATTATTTCTTTCTTTTCTGTATCAGACTATATTTGAGGCCACTGTCCCATTCATTGAGTACCATTTCTTTCTTTCTGTGACTGACCAGATATTCGACTCGGAGGCCCATTTCTTGTGTATTATTTCTTTCTTTTCTGTATCAGACTATATTTGAGGCCACTGTCCCATTCATTGAGTACCATTTCTTTCTTTTTGTAACAGACTAGATATTTGAGACCACTGTTCTATTCCTTTAGTCTTATTTCTTTCTTTCAGAGACTTGCTATTTGAGACCATATGACTCATACTTTGTTTCGAGATCAAAGAACACCTCACCTGAACAAATGAAAGAACGAAGTGAATACATAAAATTAGTATGAACCTACTAATGGTGTATCACAAATCCTGTGCTCTGATTGGCTGAGCTACTAGTGGTCTATAAGTGATAGATCACTAGTAGCTAAAAGTGCCGGTTTTGAAAACCAAAGAAACAAAAAAAAAAAACATTTTTCGACCTAATTTCATAATATTCATTTTTCCGTTTATTTTAACGATATGCATATGTAATAGGACTCCATGCTGTCCAATTAAGAAATAATTGGACGAGGAAAATTCCGAGGACTTCCAATTTGGCAGTAAGAGGAATTTTTCGAATCTAATTATTTCTTGATTGGGGARCATGAAATCCCATTACGTATTAATTATATAGCTGCCTAATTAATCCCATATCAACAAGACCTGTCCAATTAAGAAAGATTAATGAGAAGCTGTATAATTAGTAGGTTTATACGAAAACAATTAGACCTCTCGCCCTCATGGTCTACGAGTCAATAGCCCATTCAGCCTTTGACCTGTAAATGAGAAAATTCTGAATACTCCCTTTCACAATTCGCTGCGCCATCTTGAAAGGTAGCCGTGCCTTTGCATCGAAGCGAGACGAACGGTGAGCTTGCAATTATCACACATATCTCTATTATTGCAAGCTCGCTATTCGTGTCGCTTCGATKCAAAAGCCTGGCTAACTTTCAAGATGGCGCGGGTAACTGTGAAGGGGACTTCACAGTTTGGATAAGAACCCATTGGGTACTCTAAGAATAAAATGAAACATAAGACAAAGACAAGAGGAAAAATCTATTATGCAAATAAATCGTTTTGTTTCTTTTCAGGGAGTCGAAAACATCTACACTCAACACACGACACTGCTAGCAGAAATCCTAGATAACTTGTTTAAAGGGAAGCTAAGAGATGCGATGTATCCATACATGGGGCATTCTCAGCTCAGAGACAAGTAAGAATATGAATCATTAGTATGATTTTAGAAGTAATATTTCAAAGCCGACAATGAGGACTGGACGGGATTTCAAGTCTAAGCAATTAGTTATTAGAACAATTAGCAATTAGAACTAACTGCGCGGACTTGAAATCACGTCCAGTCCGATATTGGAGGCTTTGAAATGACTTCTCATCTCATTAATTATTCGACTTAGAGTAACTGGAACAAAATTAATTCAGTCCTAGGACTGAATTAATTTTGTTCCAGTTACTCCAGACTGAATGCATTCCTTTCACAGCACTTTACCAAGTTTCAAGTAACAWCATGTGACCCAAAAATAGCCCATTGATTGGATGGTTTACTCATGAATTATTAATGAGTATGAGAATTGAATATAGAGTTTGGCGTGCTGCGATTGGTCGAGCGACCAGAAGACTTGCGGCTCGAAAAGCATTCGCCAATAAATCACTTCGCCTTGGGCGAATAATTGCTAATTATACATGGACCGCGGAGAAGAGCTTTGATTGTACTGCATGTAATTTTAGACAAGAATATTAGGGAAAAGATTAAATTCAGGGTATATATTTTTAAAAAAACGTTTAGGTATTACGTCCACTCTGGCAAACTTTGCGTCCACTCTGGCAAACTTTGGAAAACCTCATAACCACCGCTCGAGCAGTGATCATCGTCTCAGAAGCACTGCACTGGTCGCTCGACCAATCACAGCKCGCGAAATTGTTMTGAAACTGMATCAAATATTCATCTGCGCTGAGGAAGATAAATAAACGTGTAAAAAAGTGTGTAGCTTTACTGATACCTCTATACTACTTTTCCTGCGACGAAGAACTAACGTCCGAATCGTCAGTACAGTTACAGTTACGGTGTTTTTACACAGGCTGTTGTCCTTGGCCATTACGAGGTTAGGGAGAAAACTGGGTCGAGTCTGCATTACAATGCACTGTGGGAATGTTTTACCGAGGGGACGAAATAGCCGCCATCTTGGAAATATGTCCCCTAAAACAGCAATGCAATGCACCGTCAACTTGACCCGGTGTTTTTCTCAACCCTGGAATGGCTAACTCACCTGTTTTCTTTACTCGTRACATAGAGTTCAGTTGATATGAAACGCTCAAGAGCACGCAGGAAGCACTTGTTTTTATGTCGCAATTGCATGATAATGTAGTATACCGACAACTCGAAAGCAYTGTATAACAAAAATATAATATTCTTGCAGACCTCAAGATGTAATAATATTCATGATCGGTGGAGCAACGTACGAAGAAGCATTAGCGGTGTATAACTTTAACAAAACTCAACCTGGTGTCAAGGTGATCCTCGGTAGTACAACCATTCATAACTGTAAATCGTAAGTATCCGGTCAAGCAGCTAACACTAGAAACCTTAAGCATTAGGTTTACCGCTAACCTCTAGGGATCAGGCCCAGATAAACGCCCGCAAACACTGAGAATCGCTCAGCATCAATGGAATTCAATATGGCGGCTCTTCCAGCAACAACTTCTTTATGAAGCCTTGCTAGACAGCGCTTTAACTTTTATCTCTTTCGTCTTATCTCCAAAAGAAATAATTTTCTTTCGCAAGATGATTAGTGTAAATGCTGTTGATAAAGGCATTCGAGGCCAAGAAAGGTTTTCCCGAACTTTATTCCAACTTTCTATCTAATTTTACTCGCCCGATTTGGCATTCGGGGACGCGATCGTTTTATTTTCCAAAGATTAATAGTTCTTTTATTTGAATGTCTTTGTTAGATTTCTCGATGAAGTCGTGCATGCGACAGGTCATGCTGCAGCTACTCGACCTCGTCAACCTAGTGGACCTTACCGCTCTACAGTATCCTCATCGTTCTTCTAAATATCGTACGAAGCAAGCAAGTATTGACATGGGTATTGATGTGATCTCTTGGGCTTGGTTCACTGTTTTCCTACTTCGTACTACTATCACTCTGTGTTTATTCTTGGCAAGGCAAAGGTAACGGGACTGTGTATGAGGGAAAGAACTATAGCAGTATGTTATAACTAGGGTACGTAGTTTAGGAACGGATCCAGGGTTTTCTTAAAGAGAGGACTCGAGGGTTCTGCGTTCARGAGCATCGACCTTTAAAAGACGCCGAACCAGAAAAATAATAAAACGGGAAGTGCATTCTTTTTAAGGAGAAAGCGAAATCATGAGGCTCATAGGACGGGTTGCAGCCCCCACAGCCCTCACAGCCCCCTGGATCCGCCAATGCAGTGCAGTCAAAAGGCATAGTTTTTACTCAATGACTAGCCGTCGAAAACGCCGAGATGCAGTTCATTCGTTTACAATACAAAATTCATTGTTAAATATATAAAAAAGTTGAAGGTGGACAACATTGAGAAAATTGATCAGTGGGTCTCTGATTATGGTAAAGGGTTCCCATTTCTGGTGTTATCTTTTTTTTTTTTACAGTGGAGCAATAAAAGTTCCTAAAAATGAATGTTATAATTCATAGGTTTTTAGTGGGACGCCACTGAAGTAACTAGATGCGTTGGTCGATCTATTGGTGTAAGGTTTTCTCACAATAATTCTTACGTCTTTCTTTGTCCATTTTATTGCATGACTTGTTTTTAGTTTCCAACAATCGATATATAGACTACGTTGCAATGCATGACAAGCAATACGAAAACAAATCAAATGAAAAAATATTCAAAAAATATTTATCTTTAATGCTCAGGGATCTTAAGGAARGTTTCGAAAGTTATTAGCCAGATTCCATAAGATTTTCCTGAGCATAGTAAAGGGATTGGGAAAGAGTTAGATTGTCTCTGTAATGCATAACCGTTGCCAATCTTCCTGCACATTCTTCTCTGCAAATTCTTCTCTGTCTAGTAAATAATTATTCAACAATCATTCACCGAACGCTAAGTGATTATCGATGAATATTTACAGAGCAGCGAGTCTTCGAGCGACGAGGTAAATATTAATTCACCATAATCACTGAGCCTGAGGGGAATAATTATTTTTAGACTTGAACTGATTTCAGAGAAAAGATGAAATTTAAGGGGGGGGGGGGGAGTCTTGGAATTACTTCCGCTCTTACAAACTTTGGGAAACCTCATAATCACCGCTCGAGCAGTGAATATCGTCTCAGAATCACTGGTCGCTCGACCAATCACAGCGCGCGAAACGATACACTCAAGTCCACAATTATACTCAAAGTAAGAAGTACAGAGTAAGTAATTGGTAGGTAAGAGGTGATATACACTGCATGTTTAAATGTTTTTAATGATAAAAAATATTCAAATATATACAATAAATGGATTAGGATATGCGAATTGAGTTTCACAAATATGCGAAGCCTCTTTCCTCGTAAATATCTTAACTTATAAATGAACTAGTTCTGAATTAGTATATGTAATAGGACTCCATGAGGAAAATTCCGAGGACTTCTAAAATTGGATGAGGCCGTAGGCCGAGTCCAATTTGGTAGTCAGAGGAATTTTTCGAGTCTTAGGCCCCGTCCACACGTATCCGGAAATTTTTGTATCCGCAAATTTTTTTTTTTTTTTTGCGGATGCGAAAATGTTCACGTCCACACGCAGCGTATTCGAATCGTTTTCACTGTCCACTGTCCACACGCTAGTGCCTAGTCCCTTTGAGGGATAGTTTTTCTTATTGAGCATGAGCAAAATCGTGTTTACGTCATCGTATTCAAAAATTTGCGGTTACGACCGTCCACACGTATCCGCATTTGGAGCGTATTCGAAAATTTCCACTCTGGAGATTGTTTTCGAAAATTTCCGATACGGATACAAAAATTTCCGGACACGTGTTGACGCAACCCGTATCCAAAAAAATTTGCGGATACAAAGATTTCCGGATACGGACGGGGATGTGGACGGGGCCTAATTATTTCTTGATTGGGGAGCATGAAATCCCATTACCTATTAATTTTATAATTAATTAAGAAAATAATTGGACAGTTACCTATATGCGATTAATGAGAATCTGTATAATTAACATAATAATAGTGTTCAATTGATAGTCATCTTCACTCTTACTTTACTTGATAATGATGAYAAGATGTCATCGAAACGTCGTAGCTTTTTGTCACTAGTTTTTCTATTTTTTTATGTCGCATGCAAAAGGAAAAGGATTTTGTTTTTACATGTTTTGCTCTTCAATTTTCCTTTTTTTCTTCTCTTTTTTGTTCATTTATTTGTCCATTTATCGAGAAAAAGTAAAAGACTGCTTTACATTTTTTCTCTTTCGTGTTTTCTTTTCTTCAGTTATTTTTTCATTCATTAATTCACAAAACTAAAGGACTGCTTTACTCTTTTTTTCATGCCGTCCGTCGGTCCGTACGTACGTCAATCCACCCATCCCTTTTCCCTTCCTTCCTTTTTGATGACAACCTTCCAGCAGAACAATTTGCGCGCACGTGAGTACTTGAGCTTCCATCAATAGCCAATCAGGTTCTAGTAAGAGTATTTGATCCCAACGATTTATTTGAACTATTCTGACGTTCCATTGAATTTTCTTTCGAATTCTGTACAAATTTATCTGGAATCTTGACTCTGTTGATGCTATCTGTACTATTTTTCATTTCATTCCGCACGGGCAGGTCGTTCATGTCTTCTAGTCCATACTCCTTCAGTATCTCWGGCGGTAGCGTTGGATAAACGTGTATATATTTAATTCGTACCATATCTCTCGACTTCAAGAAGTAGAAAACGATAGTACTGAATATAATGATAACACCAAACGACAAGACAACAGCAAGAATGAAATATAAGGTATCCAGAAATATGTTTCTCGCGGCATCCACGTATTTCTTAGATTCGAATTTCAGCTTGTATCGATATTGTGTGCCCTTGTAGTCGTCGAACTTGGGCGCCTCAATACGACCAATGATACAAGAACTGAACGAAACCTTTGGGAAGTCAGGCATTAAAGGAATGCACTTGTCCTTACTTATGGAACAGATTTGTTCATTGAACTTCTTGAAACGCTGTGTCTGCGCATTGTTGAAATTCTTTAGCATGTCATTGTATTGGCGTAATGTTTTGGAGACTGATTTCTTGTACAGTTTCATGTCRTGTTCGTTGAGGTATTTAATATGGTCTGCTATGGCCGCGTTAGTGAATTCGAAATCCGAATCAAGTCTTGCCGAAATCAAGCGATATCCACCCAGCTCTTCTATCACTGTTACATTCATTACATTAAGGCTTAAAAAAATAATCAAATAAAATACTGCTGCCCCGATGACTAGAACGATAGTTAACGGCACGATGTTGGTACGAAAGACTTTTTTCTGCAAGTTTTTAATGATGGCTATGAATTTGGTGAAGGCTTTTGCGAAAATGTCAAAAATTCTGCCAAGAATATCAGCGATTTTTTGTTTCTTTGTCGGAGATTGGAATTCGTAGACATTGTGTTCTATGGTCTCTTCAAAGCCGTAAAGCAGTTTCATCACAATTTGGTATGTTTTTAGGCAACGAAAAACGAAAAGTAAAGCATCGATGGTCCCAAGAACGTAGACAATAGTCTGCTTCACTGAACTGAAAGCTTCATTTTTATAAACATTGCTTTGTTCTTTGAGCTTGCCTTGTCTTTTTAGTGATTCCTCTTTTTGGCTATCAATCTGTTCCTCTAGTGCATCACCTTTTTCGACATTATAATGTGATTGCCCATCAGATGATTTGATTATCGAAGACTTATTGGCTGAAGAGGTATTTTGTGTTGAATCGATTCCTGTTTTCTTTTCAAAATACACTCGCTGGGACGAAGAATCAAGCTTTTTATCGYCCCCCAAAACATCGTCTCCGTCTTTTTCAGCGCAAAAGCTACTGATATTCAAACTGAAGCAATGAATATCTTTTTGTATTCCATTCTTAGTAGCGTCACATATTTCACCGAGTCCTTGTTTGATTCCTCTTTCAATGTCCTTTTTAGCTTCTTTTGTCAAGTATCTCAGAGGGCACAGAAAAGCTGTTGAAAGTGGAAGCGTAGGAGGTGTCCCACTGGCCATCACTTGTTTGAATCCCTTTAAACTTTCCTCCAAAGAATTCAGCCGATCATTGATAGACTTTTCTAAGCTGATTACTTGTCTTTGGTCAAGAACGCCGATGAAGTCAAGAAAACCAATKAATTTGCTTCCAGAGAAACTTCGCCTTTTTCTGGACAAAATTTTCAATGCGCCTTCAATCTGTGAATTACTTTGCTTCTGCCACTCTTGCAGATGTTCTGATATTTGCAATTTCCCCCCCGGAATTTCCCGTTTCTTTCTTTTATTTCTAAGGTTGTAAGCCACTTTTGGCAATGAAAACCACTTATTGTCATAAACTCGCCTCCCATAATGTTCAACTTTGAGCTTCAAGCTGCTTATTTTGTGCTTCGTACTTTCAGAAAAACTCCTAACTYTTTCCTTCACTTGTCGCTCAAGTTGTTCCACGTCGTCTGTCACTCTGTCTATTACCCGTTGAGATATCTTGTTGAACATTTTCATGTGGTTTGATTGAAGGGTGCAGCTCATGTTGTATTGTAGCCACTTCAGTTGTATTCCTAGGGAGTGATCACATGCACGTTGTATATCTGCTGACTGATCTACAGATGCTTTGATTTCTTTCTCGCGAAATTGGTCCATTCGCAGCGACATATACTTGCTTTCTTGACCTTTACGCTGCACAAAGCTGCGATAGTCGTTGATAATCTTCATGTTATCAGCATGTAGAAGAATAAGAATGGCAAGGGCCACGGAGAACGTGAACACTAAACTATAAACCAACCGCACGATGACAACGAACACAACGAGGATAACATGGCGTCGCTTGAGCCTGTTTTTATCTTTTTCTTTTCTGCTGTCTTCAACCCACACCCATCCCGAAGCCGACGCTAGTTCCATCTTAGATTGTTTTTTCGCTGTTTTTTGAGCATAAACAAGAAGTGCTATCAATGCCAGTAAAACAAAACCAGTAGTTACAAATAAAGGCATGAGAATCATGAAAGGTCCTCTTTTTGTATCCTTTTCAGTCTTTCGAAATGTGACCTTTTGTTTTCGAGACAACTTGTCTACTAAAGCGACCTGCAGCTTATACTCTTGTTGAGAGTCACTCAAAAACACGGAAAAGAGCCTCTCTCGGTCCTCCTTTCCTTGGCGAGGAATATCGACCTCGGCCTCGAATTTCTTCCTGGGACACAAGATGAGGAGATCGCTTTCTATTACTTTGACACCATCCAATTCGTCAATGACGGACAAACCAACAACACTTGGACAATGGGAGAGTTTTCCTTCAAGCGATATGACCCACGAGTTCTCTTTCCGGCGTATGCTACTCTTAAATGTGTCATCGTTAACGATACTTGAAGTATTATGAAGATGCTTTAGTATTGATTCCTCGTTGGAGATTTGTACGCTCATAGATGGTGGAGAACCCGGATCGGCGACTTCATAGCCAAACGCCCCACCATTAGTCATTCCTAAGTGTCGAATTCGAGGAGTYGTAAACTTTGAGAAATCATTCCCAAGCATGCTAGACCAATAGGACAATTTTCGACAAGTTGCCCTGCTATTCCAAGTACCATCACCTATTTGTAACGAGAAAGGTCTCAGTGGCTGAATCTTCTTAATTGTCGTACTTGGTATAAAGGAAGCCCGTTTCGTGTTCATCTCCGCAACGCTGTATCGAAAATCTTCTTTAAAGTTACTCCGTTTAGCTTTCAGGAAGTACTCTCTTATTTTCTCCGAATCGTAAGAAACTCGTAACGAGTCCAACATGTTCRTTCCTTTTGCAAGGAACTTTTTCGATTGAGGATGCTTTACTGTTTTTGATATCCAGCCTGACGTAAAGATCGTCCCGTCTTCGTAGCGCACTCGGTATCGTAGTGTATAAAGGCYTTTCGGTGGATCATGTTCAAGATAGCAGTTGAATTGTAACTTTAGGTTATCTGAATACTTAGGTGTCAGTTTAAATTCACTTACATCACCTTTAGCGCAGACATTTTGTAGACGTTTCGCAGAACAATTAAGTGCGTAGAAATAATCACAAGGTTGTAGACAGTCTATATAGCAGCAGGAACATCGATTTTTTCTGCTTTCTCGAGCACATTTTCCACAGTTGTTATTCCTACACTGGTAGCATGATAAAAATGCAGCTTTACAAGCCTTAGAATCAAAAACATAAACTGGAGTTTCCATAAAGGTTTCTTCTGCAACATCAAAGAGGTCTCCTAGAATCGAAACGTAACGTGTGCAATAGAGCGTATCGCTTGACTCCTGCAAATCGCATTCCAACGAGTTTTTACAAACTTTATCCGTGGTTGCCAGCCGACAGGGCTCATTTATGACTCTGTAATGATATTTTTCTCCGACTTCAGTATTCTCTGGGCATAGATTAATGTTTGTCTGCTTACACGTGGCACTCTCAACCAATGTCTGGCGTTCCCGGTGTAGCTTGTGTGCCAGTTCGTAGTAGTCCGGAGCTGGATGGCGACAGTATTGACTTCTCATTTCGTTGAAACCTGTCTTGAGTGTAATATTTGGGTTATTGCTTCCCCTTCTACCATCGTAGTCCTTATACATTGGAGTTAAGTGGGTATCGAAAACTTCAACATCAACAAGGAAACCTGAATTGCGATGGAGGGTAAAGTTGAATGAACGGTCTTCTTTAGCGATAAATGATGCGTTAGTGCTTTGAACATGCAGACGGTTCTCCATGAGAATTGTTGTCGGAATTATAACTTTTGCTCCTGAACGAACTGAAATCAGAATATTTGAAACTAGTTAATGTGGGTACTATATAGAGACTCTTAGCAAAAGAAAAATATGTAATGGATAATACTGTTAGAATTGGGCTGAAATAGCTCCGGGATCGCCTGGAGCACCACTCTTYATTCGACTTGTCCTTAAGGAGACTAGTTAGCTTTACAAATACGAGAGGTTTGCTACGAACGTAAGGTGCACAGAAGCTGACTAGAAAGACTTCCCTTAGTAGGTGTGGTTTTAGAAGGATTTCCTTACTAGGCCATTCGTCCTAACTTAGGTACATGCTTTCCAGTTCAACTACAGCTACAGCCTTAGACTCGGCCTTCTAACTCCAAAGTCGATTCAGTGTGTGTAAGAACTGTCTAAGTTCGTCTATATATATCTAAATCTCATTTCCTATTTACATTTTGTGGCTAGATAAGGTCACTACGTGGGGCTAGGTTTTGATTAAAAACAGATAGTGTTGGTTTAAGTTGTGGCTATAAAAATGATAAATATTATTGACAATCTTGCTTCATAACCATACAATGAGGAGACTAGCTGCAACTGTTAGTCATGCATCACGTACGTTGCAGTTTAGTTTGCTGTGGATTTACCTCCTTCTCCAAGGTTATCCTACCCAGTACGCAAACATCTCCTTTTCCTGGCGAGAAAACTCATTATAATGGCTAGTAAATTAAGACTGTATACAGGTCAAACGTCGAACTTCACGTGAGCCGAACCTAACGACATAAAAGAATACCGCCTTGTTATCCATTGTTTAAATTAGGTTCGGCTCATTTGCAGTTCGACGTTTGACCTTAGCCTAAGAGTTTATTAACTTTTAAGTTGACCGGCACATATATTAAGTGGAAGCCGGTTAAATCTGTGTAGTATACCTATATATACCTGTGTAGTATCCGCTATGTTTCATATTTAAAGGTAACAGTGCAAGGGCGGATCAGGGTTTTTTTGAAGGGGGGGTCTCAGGGGTAAATTTTGTGGGCAAAGGAATCCCAGTCGCATTTTTACCACAGAAAGCCCATTTGACCTCAGGAATGACAGGGGGGGTCGCGACCCCCCTCCCCGACCCTCCCCCTGGATCCGCCTTTCCAGTGTTGGTGATTAACAGATTCAACTTACTTTTAATAATGTCCGTGATATTTCTCTTTGCTCTCGATAAAGGTCTGGAAATATCTGCAACATAAACAAAAACAAAAATTGAATTCTTTAGTTTCTAGCGAAGATCAAAGTTTATATTTTCTTTATTTCCTTTTGCTTCTTTTTTYCCGTTTTTCTGCTGTAGTTGCATGTAGTAATAACTAAAAGACTCACCAACACACTTTCTGTCAAACGATAAACCACACCCATACTGCTGATACGTTGTCTTTTCACATTTGGGGCTGCAAGCTGTGAGRTAACAAAAATCTCGTTTAAAAACTAAAAATGTTTTTTTTTCTAAAATAACAATACACATGATATAATGAGATATGGGGTATAAGCTGAAAACTGGCTGTTGTCTACTAGAGTGGACAGCGGTATATTCWCGTGACTGCAGGGGCGGAGCACCACATCATGCTTCAGGGTTGATAGGTGGGTCACGCACACTCTTGATGTCGTTGCAACCGTTTTTTAACCTTTCTTTGTGGCATTGTGGGATATCTTTTATGTTAATTTCATGTTTCATTTCCGGTACTGAGAAAAGTATCCATTTTCGTGTGTCTTGTTATGCGCAACCGTTCGAAAAAGAAATGACACTCCAAGGAATGACGGGTGGTCTGAAATGTGTAAACATTATTTAGCCGAAAAGCCCCAAAAGCCCAAAGCCCATTATTGTTTAGTGTCATTAGATTGGTTACCTTTACATATGCGATCTCTTGTTCTTGTACACTTTGAAGACTGGTAAAAGTTTTCTGGACATGGAGTTCTGGTTGTTGTGCACTCTTAAATCAAGTGAATTGGTCTAGCTCAGTAAAAAATCCAGTTTTACAAAAAATACTTAAGGATTTCCAACAACCACTACGCACCACCATGGCTTACTTTTCTTCTCTCTCCTTCCCTCGACCGTTCACTCCATCTGTTTTTACCAACATAATAGCATAGMTACTTTGCACCATCATGTGATGGCAGACATGTTAGGAGGCAGGGACGTACAATAGAGTGTTTTCATTTGGGAAACTGAATTCTTTCTCGTGTAAATCAGATTAGACCAGATTCAATTGTTCCTGCCTCTTGTCAAGTCTCTCATTGCATTGTTTGTAATGTCCATTCGAGAGAAGATTCTCAAAACTTTTCCAGATTTTAGAAGGCTATTAGGGTATGACTTTCTCAATGGCTGACTTTCTGTACTGAGCTCTTACTTACTTTTACACGTGACTCCATCTCCCCACATTCCTTCTGGGCACGTGCAGCGATACGAACCTATCGTGTTTTTACACGTGGACTTCGTGTGACAGCTATGGAGACCAATAGCACATTCATCGATGTCTATGGGGRAAAATCTTGGTATGAGACATATGGATGATGCTTTGGACGTTTCCAATATAATATGGCAATTTGTCTATAGATTGAGCGTATTTTCCTATATGAATTCTTACAAAATATTCGATTGTATTTTTGATACCATTTCTCCTGTTTCACACGTTATTAATTGAGATTTCGCCTTCTTACTAATCTTTTCGTGCTAATAATAATAATAATAATAATAATAATAATTTAATCACTTATTGTGCGCGCATTCCATACAATGATCATGCGCGCATTACAATAATAATATGTTCTCATTTCTCGTTTTTCAAAAGGGGTAGGTAGAGTCACTTGGCCATCTAAATTTTTTGTTCTTCTCTTGTAAATATTCTTAAAGATAATCTACYACTTAAATATCAAAAATGATTAAGGATTTACGAGTAGAGTGCCGTAATGGCACATTTACCACATACCTTCACATTTCTTTGCCGCCATTTTGTAACCTCTATAACAAATACACGACTTTGTCAGAGGATCACACGCATACTCGCATCTATTTGAGCATGAAGCCAGTGCCGCGACGGCAGAAAAGGCCTGGGAAACAGCTGAAAGTAAAGATTTGAATTTTGAGATCTATTGGTGTACCATTAAGGTCTTTACATCCGAAACTAGCTCTGAAATGCATTGAATCTCCAAAAGCAGGGGGAGGGAGGTTCTCCTGTAGTCCATTTTACAGTTCCGTTGAGTGACCACGAATAAAATAGTTCCAAGTCGAGGTTAGAGTTGCAGCACATGATGAACTGTAGTTTTGCTATGAACGGCAACTCCAACTGTAAAAATGAGTTTTATTCCATCGTAGCATGCGCATTATATCCCTCCCCTCATTTGAGACATACGTCGCGCTCATTCGTCCATTGCGCGCCACAAATATCATCGTGTAAACACGTCTGCAACTTTGCTTGCAATGGCGTGTTGTTCCAGTGTGGTATGTTTAATTCATAGTTTTGTTGTACGAAACGTTACTACCTGTTAGATTCCTTTAAATACTGTTGCTAGCAAGGTTTTGTGTAGCAACTGCACCGTTAAGTCCCGGACACATGATATACGACGTTGCATGCGACGGGGCTTTTAGGGGAATGTTATTCCAACTATCCAAAATTTGTCTCCGGCGGCGTATGTTGCGACAGTAGAACTCGTTTTATACGTTGCGCGGAACAGTTGCACGGCTTAATACACGATGCGATTTCCCGGGCCTTTGCTCAGCTTTATGTTGCGGTTTACTAATAGCAATTGTCTTTTTTGCATCAGTTAGAGCAGAGATGCACTGGGTCTGCGTACATTGTTTGTGCTTGTTTTTTTTTGTTTTTTTTTTAAAGCGTGAACCAGGTTTTTGTTATGCTTATGATGATTATTCATATAGCGCCTTTTATCTATGGATATAATCAAAGGCGCTTTACATTGAGTTATAAACATGAGAGATGGTTAGTATGAGATGTAGGCACTTGGGGTGGTCACTACCAGGGTTTCTTTACGTCCTCAGTGGTTCTTTTACGTCCCTCCGATATTGATTAGTAATAATAAAGTAGGAAAGATGGGACCGCCATTTAATGTATATCTGGTTTCAATGCGATGCGCGCGTATCCTTATTCTTACCAAATTGTTTGAAGACTTTAACATCTCCTTTCCAGTCACTAGATACAATCAATCTTCCCTGGTATCTCTCGTTAAAAAATATACTTGAGTTTGACACGACCATACTTGAGGGAACACGAATCACGATACGAGCCTGCGGGGTTACGAGCTGGGTKGCCATAGTGACGGCGATGATTGACATCAAGACGAGTGAAGTATTCAGAAAAGCGTTTGGTTTGCTTACTTTCTTTTCTGGCGATGTTTTAATACTTTCAGATCCAGAACCCTTGTTGTCTGGCGWTGTTTTGATATTTTCAGATCCAGAACCTCCGTTGTCTGGCGATGTTTTGATATTTTCAGATCCAGAACCTCCTTTGTCTGGCGATGTGTTAATATTTTCAGATCCAGAACCTCCGTTATCTGGCGATGTTTTGATTTTTTCTAATCCAGATCCTTCCTTTCTTACTTCAAACACGTTTGCTTCGTCTGAAATCATATTATGAATACTAACGTCAGAGAAGATTGATACCTTTTAGCGTCGGATACATGAATTTGTTAGAGGGGTGTCCCAAAATTTAAAAAAAAAAAAAAAAAAAATGTACATAGAGATTTTATGCATCGTAAATGTTTTTTGATTCAAAAAAGCTAAGAGTAATTACGGCGTTAGGGGGGTGTCTGGTGCACCGCCCCTGCCTTATGCGTGCGTAACGTTTGTACATCACAATCTTAACGTGTTCTCACACGGCTGTATTAGCCGTGCGGAGTTGAAAGACGTGTTGCAACATAGGACGGGCTGTTTTAGGGGACGCTTTATCGCTTATATGGAATCTTGTTCGCTTGTTGATAGTGAAAAGTGAAAGAAAAGTGTTACGAAACCTCAATTGTCGCATTAATCTTTTCGTTTCTAGATGCATAGAATATCAACTGATCGGTAAAGCGTCCTTCAAGCAACGCAATTATACACCTCCGGAACGGCTACCTACCAGGATTCACAAGAAAAACTACGATCGATTTTAACTGAAAAGAATATTCATTTATTTAGATCATCTATGTTTACCTTTCACTTTATTCTCTCTGCCTCGGATATTTTCAAGTTCCAGTTTGATTTTTTCTTGGGCTTTTTTCTTCTCGTCTGCTGTAGAGCCTGATGTTGTAATGCGCCTTCTCTTGGATCCCCTCCACCAGCGAAGTTTCTCTAAAAACGTTAATTAATGATCATACATTGTATTCACTATCTGATTTCTCATTGGTCGAGARCCTACAGATAATTCTAGCTTTCAGCATAACGCCAGCGATTTTTTAGCGGTCGATAGTTATTTGTAGGCATTTATCTGCAAAAACGAGCCTGCATAGGCTTTTATGTATTTTGAAACCTTAAAAACGTTTATTATGAACTGTCTGAACTTGTATTATCAGTTAATCAGACATTGATATTTCCGGATATCATCAAAACCTCATCTAATAACTGTTTATTATTACGTTACAGTCAAGCCTGAGGTCCGATTATTTCTGTTTTTAAAATCATATATCTCAAGTACTTAACTGCGAAACCTTCAATTTATTTTTGCTGTGATAACAAAACAGGTTCTGCATAAATGAATGAATGAATGAACGAACGAACGAACGAAAACGAACGAACGAACGAACGAACGAACGAACGAACGAACGAACGAACGAACGAATGAATGAATGAATGAATGAATAAAGATAAATGAATAAATAATTCGATTGTTTGTTTACCTTTCACTTTATCCTCTCCATCTAGGACATTTTCAAGCTCTAGTTGGATATTTTGTCGAGCTTTTTTCTTCTCGTCTACAGTAGAACCTGATGTTGTAGTGCGCCTTCTCCTGGATCCCATCCACCAGCGACGCTTCTCTACAGAAGTTCAATGTTATCAAGTCTGTAGTCAATTATTTTTTTCTTGGAAGTCATAAATATAAATTACACAGCCAGAGTTAATTCCATTAATTCCATTGCTCATTTTTGTTTTACTTTATAAGCGAGGCTATACTATTATACCAAAAGGACGTTTGCACAATTGCGTCATTTAACTACTACAATCAAATTTTGTTGCGAATTTCCTTTCAATATTCAAATTTGCCTCAATGCCTCATGAGAACARTAAGAGTGAATTAACGAACAAAAGAAAGTGTGCAAAGGATTCTGGTAGTTGTAGTTAATGACACCATAATTCAAGTATCCTTTGGAATTTAACGTTTTCTTTTCATTGGTATTACATTTTCTAAGTATCTCACCTAGGACATTTTTCCCTTTCTCGAACTTTTCCTGGTCTAACATTTCCTCTTTAATTTTCCTCTCTTTGTGTCGTTTGTAAACAACACACAAGACAGTAATGACAAGTACGAAGAGGAATAAACCTGCGCCCGCGAGCCCACCTATCAGCGGCCAGTTTGGAGGTTCCGGCTCTAAAAACTAGAAATAACAAAATAAAAAAGAACAACATGATTGACGGGGTAGATGAAACAATCGAACCTTTAAAAAAAGACAAGCTGCCATTACCGAGCCACAACATAGTATGCGTATGCGTAATGTTGACTATGATTATGTTGCCTTTAGTCTGTGGCGCGTTTCGGTTTAACACGCACTAATATTTCAACGTGTTCCTTCCTGTAACGTCACCAAAACAAGCAAAGAGCAAACCATAAGGAAGTATTAGCCATTTCAAGGATGAGGAGATAAGGTGGTCGAGTCGGACGTACATTATTTCCAAGATGACGTCTACTTCGTCCCCTAAAACAGTCCCACAATGCACTGCAATGCCAACTCGACCTAGTTTTCATAAGAACATATTCGTCGATCATGTGCGATCAAAGATACAGTGTATTTCAGTCATAGAGGACTTTCAAGGCAAGCAGTTAATGTTAGAGGGCAAAAACACTGATACGGGTTTGAAAATTTTGTCATCTTTTTATTTACCCATGCCAAAACAATGCATCAATTGTTCCTGCCCTACAACATGTTGTGAAACCTCTGTCTCTATGTGATTCCGGGCATTATTAGAGTTTCCGTAACGTAAATACCTACCACTTGTAAGTCCACTACGCTTTCATTGTTTAACATTTGGTAATGGACTCTGAATCTCTTTCTGTCCTCTTTTCGACCAGAAAGAAAGACTTCGACACTCATATTCTTGCTTTCGCGAAACTCTACGTCTCCCTGGACAAATGAACAAAACAATTTCAGATTAAGGCATATATTCATGACGGTCAAAGATATATTAAAGACGGACAGGGAAAGAAGTGCCAGAAAGTATACACAAGAGGGCATGAAAGAGACAGGCAAAAAATCAATGAAATAAGGAAGAAACTGATGAGATTAAAGATTTTWAAAAAACTGACAGAGAAGTTTATCAGAAAGAAAGAAAGAAACGAAGAAAACTGTAGAAAACAAACAAGCAATTATAACTAAAGCAAACAGACAATTAGAAAAGATATAATAAATTAACGAATCAATGATCTAGAGAGACAACCAAAAGGAAATAACAATAGACAGAATGAATGTATTCGGACGTCAACTATACACATTTCATATAAAATGTTGAATACGTCAGGCAACATGTTTCACATCTTACCTTCAAATTGTTGCGGATGAAGAATTTTTTAGGCAATAGTTTGGCGGATTCGCTTTCTTTCTCCTTCAAGGGGAAACCTTGAAACCGAATGACGTCTCTGAAGACATCACCACTAACAACAAACGTGCATAGGCCAAGTAAAACGACTAGAAGTGTCGTCATGGTGCTTTGCTTATATATGGACAAAAACCGTATCTAGATAACTCTCTTTTGCTACAAGATGTACCGGGTTCGTTGATTCAAGATTCCTGACAGTGACCTGAAGAAAAATGGTTGACAATGTAATTCTGGTAAACAATGAAATTCAACATGTGAGCTGAGCGTTGTGTGCATAGAATATTGAATGAAGTGGTAGTGCGTGTGAGTGAAAAGTGTCCCCAGTTAGTGCGAATGACTAAACACTTAAATAAAGATATTTATAAAAGTTAACTAGTGATATGACTATTTCATGTCGATCAGTTATTTTTTTAAATTCGCATGTACTCATCTTGTGCTGATTTGAAGCATTTCTTCAGCTATATTAACTGAAATGCATTGCAAACTTTACCGGTAATAAAAAGAAAATCTCTATAACTCTTAAATTAAAGGATAACTTAAAAACTCAGCAAATTCAGTTGTATTCTGAAGATTTTCTTGGTTTTCAATATTTCAGCAAATCTTCAGTATAAACAATTAACTTAATTTAATATTTTAGTGCAAAATATTGAGTTGTGAGAAGTCGGTATGCAAAACCATAAGGATTTTCCAATCATATAAACGTAATTTAGGAGTAAGAAGAGATAACTAGCTAAAAACTAGTGTGAGCTACGTCGGTGTTTCTAATGAAACAGTAATGATAAAAGGGTAAATTTTACACCGTGAAAAGATGAAAACACTTACTGACGTTTCGGAACAAACCTCCTCAGCTTCGCACTTGTGACTGAATGTTTGAGTCGACTGTTCATGCTATAACTACGGCATTCTTTGCTTATAATCAGTTGAAGTTTTCCATGCATTCGGGAAAATTTCATAACACGATTTATATTAGTCACGACTTGTCTAAATGATACCCAAAATTGGAATCAGTTTATGATCTTTGCTGACTTATGTTCCAAAGTGCAAGATCACTTCCGGATTGTGTCATACCTCTGAACCGGATGTCACTGACTACTGTAGTATACTCGATGGTTTCTTTTTGTGACTATTTAAAGCATGCTCGTACRTGTTCTCCTTGTATCATCACTTTCCCTTTTGCCTGTTAAAACAAAAGAGCATAGGTGGGACTGGTTTCTTACCTTCCCTCTCTGCGTGTCAAAGGCACATGGCTCGAAACTCTGTCATCGAATTGTCAATYTTTTATATAAATATTGCTGTATGTCGATCTATTTTAATTTTTACAAATAAAATGTGTATATGTATATATATAGTGGTAGTGCTGAAATGATTAAATAACATTAGCCGTTCCGCGCCAGACTTGTAGAAATAGGTTGCATTGTGGGACTGTTTTTGAGGGACTCTTCACGCCGTCAGTAGTTACATTTTATGCATCAAGAAACGAAAAGAAAAAATAAATATTCAAAACGACGATTTAATTTTTCTATCACTTTTATTTATTTTTTATTATCAGAAAGCAAAAAAGATGCCACATCAGTAATAAAGCGTCCGGCCCTAAAACAGCCCCATGATGCAACGCGTTCTTCAACTCCGRAACGTCTAATTGAACGATTGATTGGTTGATTAAAACCAGGTCACTCATATGAAATTTTTGTTGGTTTGGCTTATTTTAGTCTTAACTTCCTTGTTATGACTAATACCGACCTTCCTTACTGCACGTTACACCCCCGCCCCAATTTAGATAAAACTGAAAAGCAAAAATAAAATCGGGGGRAAAATGGACTTCGACGTCAAGATAATGTCCTCCGTAATAACGAACGATTGAAAAAATCGATTAAAAATGCACCGGAACATTTTTTTGCGCGCGCTTTCGTTTTCCTATATGACTGTTTATGGTATCCTAAAAGGTATCCTACTGGATCCTATGACATCAATATGAGTATTTTTTCCCTGTTCTTCCCGTTCAGTTATTTTCATCTTTCAGTTTTATCTGAATTGGGCTCCCTGTGGTTACACGTCTCTTCCTTAGGCAAAGATTTCACGTAAGACGGCACATCTTCCTCCTAGGCAGAAATTAGGGAAGATTTTTCACATTTTCATTTTTCGCTTCGTGTCATTTCTATTTTTGTTTTATTATTCATTGAATGTATCTTTTTTTTCATTCGATTCGTTTCATTTTGTTTTCCAGATTCCGCTCCTTTTATGTAAATTTACGGGGGCCAAAATAAGACCCAATCACACGACGTTTTCTCTATCACGTGACTATAATTTATGGGGCGCAAAATACAAAACAACAAGTCGGCCATTTTGTTCTCAAAAGTTCAAAAAAAAAATTTTTTTTCTTTGATAATATCATGTCTCACGATCGAGAAAGGCTTATTATCCCAAGTTTAAGCGTGGAAGATGCTGTTTCTCTTTCCAATTCGCTGTTTGACAACAAAATGGTTCTCACAGAGGATGATATCAAACGACCTCAGGTTAGATTTTAGTCAGAAACCGTTGAATATCGAACGGATACCATTCTTCAATTTCTTCAATTTTACTAGTATAATCTGTTTTTAAATATTACTACTGGTAATATTGATATTGATATTTTGAATATATTGATATTTTCAAACTAAAATAGCATTTTATGATTGTCATTGATTAAAAAAAATTAAGATGTGGTTTTATTTGTCGTTTATTCAAAGTTTTTAGCTGTTCAAAACGTCGACTTTCTAGCTGAATTTTATGAACTTATGAATTACAGTATGTTAATTATGCTAAAAGCTAACTTTATGCAAGATAATTACCTTATCTTTTTTATATTTTTACCTTCTATTTTCTAATATCATATGGTTAAGCTTAATTCTTTTAGAAACGGATTTTCTCTTATGTATTTACAGTTCCAAAGGCTTAGGAAATTTTACACCAATCTCCTGGTAGATCATGTGGGCATTCCACAAGAACTAGTTACTCAGGTATACATACATACGTACATGCTTTGAAATGTTGTGGACTTCTCTAACATTACTGTTCCATAACTGCAAAWCTGTCTATCTAGATGTTAGTGGGGTTCTGTTCAATTTTATTTCACTATCCCTGATAGCTTAGTTTTGATCATTCCTAAACCTAATTCATTCATTCATTATTAGAGTAATTGTTGGCCTTAGACCCCTAACTACCCCTAAAACCACTAGCAGGAACTCCCATTTAGGTGTCTGTATGTTAAGTATATTATTTTGTAAGTTGCTATATTAGTCGGCAAAATATTTTACTGAATTGCAGCACACACATGGCCATGTACATACTTTAACAATGAAATGGCTTCCCATTTTCTTCTAGTAAATCATCCAATCATTTCATGCAGGGCTTAAAATAATGGTTGGTCAGTTGTCAGTCACGATTATCCACCAAATTAGTCGTAGCTCAGTCTTAACCTTGTTTCTGACTTGGGTTACCATACTGGTTAAAATGACCAGCAAGGCAAGGATTTGACCAGACAAGTTCTGGACAATTTTGGCTGAACATTGTCTGATGACTGGCAGTCATTTTTAGTGATTACAAGTTGTTGTAGTTAAGTACTGACCAGCATTGAGCACTATAATTTACCATATTTCCCCTCCCCCCCCCCCCCCTTGCACGACAATCGTTTTCGAGAATATTGGCTTTTATGTTGCATCAACAAATAAATCCTCCAATGATTGTTTCTTGTATTTGATTATTGTAGCCACACTTCAGCTCTATGGCATCATTTGAACATCCAGATTTACAAGAGGAAAGTGCAGTTCTTTTTACATTCACCTTAGCCTTGTAAGTATAGCAAACTTACCAAACTTACCTTCAAAGTACAGCAGACTTACCAATATTGAGATGTCCTCCCCCAAGGGTGGATCCAGGATTTTTTCTAGGAGGGGGTGCAACATCCAGGAATTTCATTTTAGGAGGAGCTGCAAGCTTTCCTTACAAACTCAAACACCAATACTGCAGTAGATATCAGCTCATCTAGGGGAGGGGGGGGTTGTGATACCACTGCACCCCTCCCCTAAATCTACCCCTGTCAAAAAATGACAAAACAATGTTTTTCCTAATTTTTCAAAATTCAAAAAAATTGCCCTAGTCCCTAGCTTATCTTTGAAATAGCCTATTTTCTAGTCATTCAAAATCTATGAAATATTAGACATTTTCTTTATAAAAATATTTAAATTGTTATTTATTTGTTGGGTTATAACTTATATGCAAATTTGATTACCATAACAACAGGCAGAGGTTTATGTTTGCATGTGGAGTGGAGGATTTTACCATCAATGATCTTCAGTCACCAAGTGAGTATTTTTTAATACCCTTTTGATCATCATGATTAGATGGCATTCAAGCAATTTTAATGTTATTATTTTAATATAATTTATACAATTTTTTTGTTTCTTATAGAGCCCAAAAGAACACTATATTGCATAAGGTGAGTACATAATAAACAATATTAAACATAAAAAAGATGATATCTGGGGATCAAAGTAATAACAATGCTATTACAAATAAATAAATTGAAAACTTTCTTATTTAAATCTGCATTTAACTTGTAACTGTGTGTATCTTTTTTTTCTCTTTACAATCTCTTTATTTTTGCACTTAGAGCATTTTTTTGAATAAGCGCATTATAAATGTATATGATTATCATTATTTTATTATTATTATTATTATTGTTTCTGGCTCAAAATTACTGATCAAAATGACTGGCAARGCATTTATTTACCAGAGAAGTTTCAATTCTGGCCATGCAAACATTGTCTGATGGCCGGTTGTTATTTTAAGACCTAAGAGCCACTCTGGTGATACCCATTTAATTCCAATATTTTATATATATAAATTATTTATTTATTATCTATTTCTTGATGACGTATAGTGCTGTGCTTAATTTCATCAAATTTAAACACTGTGAAGTTGAAGTTTATAACAAGGCTATAGAAGAAGTGGTAAGTTTAATGCCAAGCATTCAGTCTTATCCTTGGATTATTGGCCATTTTGATAAATCAACTGCATGTTCAATTTTATCAATGCCTGATTACCTAGCATTCTGAAAAACATGTTTGCATGTTTGATTGATGGTAAATTATATATTGTTCAACTGTAGGAATCACTTGGAGATAGGAGACATCAAACTCTTGAGAGAAATGCTTCTGTGAGACAAAGGATCCAACAACTCAGGTAAATTACAGCAAGCAATATACTAAGCATCTTGTAAATTTGTAAAATGTATTTTTTTAAATTAGCAGTTTTATATATAAAGAATATATTTTGGGTCTTGTGACAAAAGTAACCTTATCAAAGGCTTATCAAAGTGGTGGGATGGCTAACTCAATCATAGATCGAATTAGAATGCAGTGTGTATTAGAGGGAGAAAGACCAGACAAACTGGAGATTTATGAGAAAAAACCCTTGAATCAAGGGAGAGACCAAACAAACTTCACATGTGATGCAGAGTCTGATAAATGTATATATTGCTGTGTTTATCCAGAGTTCAGAGAGCTGAGGAAGAGGCTCAAGCACAACAGGTATTATATTTGATATGATGCTCACTGTCAAAATTATTACTGGCTTTGGGGGGGGGGGGGGGGGGATTAAGATATGCAAAGCCTTTTGCCACCTGAATTTGCCTCACTGTAGTAGACTTTTTTTTGCTAGTCTGTCAAAGCAATGCATTCTGGGACTGTTAACTCAATAGAGGCTTTGCACCATCACATAATGGCAGCTATGACAGGAGGCAGGAACAATTGAATCTGGTCTAGTCTAATTTACATGAGAAAGAATTCACTTTCCCAGGGGAGAAAGACTATTGTTGCACATCCTGTCATGGCTGCCATCACATGATGGTGCAAAGCCTCTATTGCATACTTTAGACAGCAAAGATCTCATCTTTAAAGCAATCCATTGTCTCTTATTGCTCTCCATTTTTGCAAGGGCTAGAAGGCAGTGACAATAAAGGTTTTACTATACCCTTAGCCATGATTATTATATTTTGCAATCATGAGTGTACATGTAAATAGTATCAATTCTAAATACAGCTTATGCCAGCCGTTGAAGCATTGCAGTCCTCCATCAGTGAACTAAACAGAGAACAGGTAAATCATAGCGGTGGTTTTTCATATATTTAAGGAATATAAATCAAGTATCTGTACTGTGGTATAAAATAAACATGGTGGGAGCTGTAGAGCAAGAGAAAAGCAAGCTTAGGAAGACAAGTCATAGCCCAATGTTTCTCTTGCTTTTTGAGTGCTTTACAAAGTGTTCATATCATAAGCAGCTGTTTCATAATGCTTTTATTACAATATTGTTGAACAATTTTTACAGGAGTATGTCTCTCTCCTCTGATATAAACTCTGTAGCCAGCTGATCAGTACAGCAAGTGCATTATATCTTTTATCTTGACAATCAGAATGTGTGTTTTTTTCAAATATTTTATAACACATATCCCTTATATGTATATTTCAGGCTGCAGAAGCCAAAGAATATCAACAACTGAAGACAACCAATGCCGAACAGGCTTCTAAAAAGGTATAGCAAGATACAGATTACACTAATAAAAATATATACTGGCTGTATTTTTTTAATGTTGCTGATTATGATATGTGTTTTTTCCCTAGGCCGAGTTAAATGTATCACTTGCAGGACAAAAAGAACAGTGTGAGAACCTCAAATCAAAGATTGTTCAGTCTCCAGATCGTTTTAAAGCTGTAAGTCGATGACAAATGTCGCAGCAATTATTTCGATTATTTCATAGTTATTACATAAAGGTATTTTTTTCTGTTAATTCAAGGAAATCTCAAGACTGACCAGTGGACTGCAGTCAGTCAAGAATTGTATCAAGGAAAGAAGTGATAGATTCAGGGAACTGGACAACCAAAAAGATGGCAGATTAGGTTACAATGAGGTAAGGTATTTATTCACTTGAATTATCAAGATTTAAAAAATAAATAAAAAAATAAGAATAAAAAACTGTAAAATCAGTTAATCAAAAAAACTGTAAAATAAATTAATTAAAAAAACTGTCAAATTAATTAATTTAATTAATAAAAAGGGTTTTTTATTCTTTTTACTGTAGAATGTTCAAAATACTCTCAAGTTGATGAAGTCCATCAGTACGGGGATAGAAAAAGAACGGTAATCTTTCAGTGATTTATTAATTAATAATTTTGTTCATAATTATTAAGACAGTGTGACTTGGTACAGGTCTTTGTTAAACAGTTTACTTGAAAGGGGAGGCAGCATATGGATGAGAAAAAGCTTCATGATTCTGTTCTCCTTCCTGGTGATACTCTTTCTAGTCCATGCTAGACAGATCCTCTATACCTGATTGTGCTGCAGTCCATGCTTAATATGGATTTCTTATTACCTTTTYATTCTTTTAAAGTGAGTCATTAGCCAGGCTGGAGGAAAGTCAGGATAAAACAAGGGCTCAGAAGGAAGCATTAAAAGACTTTATAGTGAAAATACAGGTATGGCTACAATAATAATGCTGTGTTGAGGACCCTATCATGCTAGCTAGGACATAGCAAAACTAGAATTCGTCAAATTTTATTGAACCGTGAAACAACCTCTGATTTGGATGTTTCAAGTTGGGACATGGTTGGGTTTTGTAGTGTGAGGAAAACAAGAGCCCAGACTACATGTAGGTAAACCCTTGAACCAAGTTAGAGACCCAACAAATTCTACTTAATACAGGATGCCAAGTCCAGGGATGGAACCTGATGCTCTCAATTGAGATAATTGCTTCAGAAGGTGTGGTCAATGGACGACTCAGTGGAATTCCTCACTGCGTATCGACCATAACCTGGTTGCAGGAAGGGTGGATAGACCTATCTCTGAAGGATAATTCCAGTCCAGTGGATAAATTGGATTGGATAACAGGGCATTGATTATCCACCCTTTGCACAACCAGGCCCACACCGTTAAATACAGTTATATACAGTTTAAATCTCTCTCTCTTTCTCTCATATTTTGTACTCCATACATATAGCTCCAGTGTATAGGCATTGAAATTTGTTACACATAAATGTTTACTTTTGTTTGTATGTAGCATTGTAAAAGACAAGCAGCTTCCAAACAAGACAAAGCATCACGCACTACACGACAGCATGAGAAAAAATTGGCAGCTCTGATTGAACAGAATCAACAATTAAAGAGGTGTGTAGACCATYGTCATTCTCCAACTACTGTGGTTTTCAATATTCTGCAAATTCAGACATTTTGACAGCTTGTTGTGATCTTTTTTTTCTGCCCCAAGTCAAGAGCAAAAAAATAAGTTACTGACTGATTATTTTCTATTGACGGCTGCAAAAAAAATTCAGAATGCAGCTTGCAACTACCAAGTTTGCAGAATATGGAAAACTGCAGTAATCCAGGTTCATGTCAACTGGTGTCACCAATTATCTGGCAACTATGATATTAAAAATATTGATATTAAATATAAGTTTCAGTTTTCATTTATTGTTTCCTTGACAGAGAGGACAATAACTATGTTGAAAAGAATGCTGGCRAGCTGATGTTCAATTGCAAAAATATTGACAGTAAAATGGAAGAAATTATGCACACGGTATATTCAGCTTATTTTAYGTTTCTGTTTTAGTTGTCTAAAGTGTTTAATATGTCTCTTTTAGCATGTGATTTATTTCCTTTTCATTCCCATTTATTTTTCCACATTTTTATTTCAATATCTCTACTTCTATCATGTTGTTATTCTCATTTTGTTTACAATGTAATATTTAGACAATAGAGGTTTTGCACCATCAAGACAGCTTGGGCCGCCTGTGGTTAGATGGCAGAACAATAGAATCCCTTAGCTCTTGGGAATTAAATTCTTTCTCTTGTAAAATGGTTGTATTGTTCCTGCCATCTAACATGTCTGCTGTTACTGGTTAATATGCAAAACCTCTATTATCCCACTTCCACAGCTGTTCTTCATCATCTAAGAGTCCCAGTTTTGATTCTCATTCCCCACATTTATTATGCCATGTCTTTCTTCTTATTTATTATATTAAAGATTGAAGACAGGGAGAATCAATCTGAGCAAGAGATCGCAGCTTTACAAGATGCATACAAAAGACTGCTTGAACAGGTAAATAGCTAGACCACATCAGGAATAAACAACTAAATTAGACTGCGTGTCACGCTCTTGAGAATAAGATTCTTTGTTTGAGTTGTATCCATATTCATGTGCCTTCTCATGCACAACCATTAACAAAAAAGATAATCTAGGGAATGACACATGGTCTGAAATAGGAAAACTTTGTACCAAAGCTAATCTGTCTATCATGAACAACCAGTTCATGTTAATGTAAAAACAAAACAAACAAACAACAACAACAACAACAAAAAAACCCAACAACAACAAAATAATGAAAAAGGAACCAAAGGAATATTTAAAAATCACTGGTCATCATATCCCAGTTAGGTTTCATTCATTTATGTTATACAGCCTGTATATGAGGCTTTGTACAATATCATGTTGCCAGCCATAAAGACTTTGTCCCATGCGAAACTGAACTCTTTCTCATAAGTGTAAATCTAAAGTCGTAAGTAAATTGTAAGCCTAAATAGACCAGATTCAATTGTTCCTGCCGTCTGTCATGGCAGCCATCATGTTTAAAAAAAGTATATTGCCTTTATTCAACTGCTATCAATAATGGCCAACAGTGCATGTGCACTTTATCCCTTCTCTCAATACACCTAATCAAAATATGCCAACCAATTTGAATAACTATTGTTCTGCACACTGACTAGTGACTGACAAGTCTCATACATGTGAAAACGCTTTTGTGTTTCTACATGAACACGAGGCTAGTTGGTGCAGAACAATGGTAATTTATTCAAATTGGTTGCCACATTTTGATTAGGTTTATCAGTGAGTTGTTTTGAAAGTATTCAAAGCTGCAGCTACACTGAAATTAGAGAGAAGTTGAAACAGACATAGAGATCCTGAGGATCGAACCATTGATTTCTAGCTCTGAAGGTTACACACTAACCAACTGAGCTACATGTATTCCTGCACCTGATAATACAAATCCTCTATTTTAATGCTTCTCCCCTTGTTCCAGATTGGTCTGTACCACGAGTCTCTAAACCAGGCTTGGGCTAAGGTATCGCAGTCAGTATAGATTACTAACCCTACTTATAATAACACTGGTATGCCAACCATAGTAATTCATAGAGCCAGACCTTGTAGATTACATGTATTATATTATTAAGGTTTATAACCAGGCCCTAAGATGTCTGGTAGTCCAAGCTGAACCTTTGGTTTTATTAAATGTATTTTAACTTAAAATCAGTCACAGCAGGGTTTTGAGTTTTCAAGCTTTGAAATGATACTAAGGAAAAGATTTCTGAACTAGCCAAAGATGTCTAGGAAGGGGGGGARGGGGTGGGCGTCATGAATTAGCCAAAGATTTCTGATGGACTAGCCAAAGATTTCTGGGGGGGGATGGGCATCATGAACTAGCCAAAGATTTCTGATGGGGGTGGGTGGGCAGGTGGGAATTGAATAGGGAACATGTATGCAAGTTGACCATTAAAATTAATGCCAGAATCTCTTGATCTGCAAAAATAATGCTCAATTCTGAATCCATAAATGATTTGACATTTATTCGATCAAAAAAATAAAACATTTCTGAAGAAGATTATAGATCAGCAATTTGAACTCCATGATAAACAAAATCCGAAATCTGGGTGRAAAAAAAAGTTGAAATAAATTTGTAATTGCTGCATTTGCAGGATCTACCAATCCATTAAATTCTAAATCTGGACGACTAAATTTGTTGCAAAATCTGCCATTTATCCATGGACCTATCCACCCTCTTCTCCTGGCAAGATTTTCATTAACTTTGAGATTATAGAAGATCATGAACTTGTAGGAGAATTTTGCTTGACCCTTAATGAAAAGCCTGCATAGACAAAAAGACTTCCGTAAGATTATTACAATATTCCAAGACACATGATGCCTGTATAATATGATAATATTGTAATAATCTTGGATAGACCTCTTTACCTTTTGAATAATGTTTTCCCATTTTAGACCATGTGTTATTGTCTTGAGAATATAGTAAGATTCTTTGTTTGAGTTGTATCCATGTTTATTTGTCCCTCTGTGTCCAATGAACAAAAAAATGGTACTCCAGGGAATGAAATGTGCATGTGGTCTGACATTATGCCCAATGTAAAGAGGTTCCTTCATGGTACCCCTGTGGAAAATGTACCACAGGCTCAAAATCAATACACGAAAGAAAGTCCTTAACCTTAACTCCAGCATGTTCTTCTGCCTAAAATTCTATGAGAAACAAAACATCCCCTGTGCATTCAATATCAATGCAAATGAATTTTTTTGTTTGCTTAATGAGCGATTACGGATCTTTTATTCTTTTTATGCTTCCGGTTTTATGACGTCACAGTCTGAAGTCCAAAATTAAAGCCGATAAATATCTTTCAAGATCTGAACCTACCGTATCGTACCCTGGGTGTCAGAGGCTCCTTGTTGTTTCTCTCTGAATAGACTAGCCCCTCTGGAATCAAGGGTAACCGTATCGTTACCTCGAAACTTTTAGATCGCTTTCTAGACATACCGTAACTCCGTTCATTCGTTTCACAATCAGCTCTGATGATAGTTTCGCAGTACGTATTTTGCGATATTTTCTACGTCTCAGTATGACAACGTGCGCATTCTCCTTTATATTTTCTATGCTCTTATTATAAAAGCTTCATAAATATACTTTTGACATTTATATTATGACATCTATTATATTAACTTTCGACCTCTGAGCTCTACTTATAAATAAACATATTCTGATGTTACATTCGATAAGACCAAAGTCACTCGAAATGAAAGGCAAGATCTTTTTAGATGTTTTACATCTCAAATAGGTATTTTCTAAAATATTTATTCCAAACATTAAGGTTTTAAAATATTTTAACGGAAAAGTGTAATATATGACACCTCGCAGGCATATCATTCACAAGGCCTGGCTACCCCTTTTATTGAAACTCACAAACTTCCCTTGCTAAAAATAGAAACGTAGTATAAGCACCTTGTGCAAGGTCCTTGATGTTTAGAATGACGACGATTGCCTAGAATTTCACGCAGAACAAATCGTTCAAAGATGACCAGTGTATACGTTTTCTTTTTCCTCTATCTTGTTATCACTGTATCGACCACAGCGGGCTCTAATAATACGTTTTACAAACACAATATTACTTGTGATGACTACGCATCTTGTAACTTGACGAAAATTCTTCAGGAGCTGAACAACGATACACGTATCAGTCTGACATCGGGGAAATACTACCTTAGAAAGAATATCGACCTATCAAGCATTCACCATGTCTTAATCTCTGGGCCATCCAAAAACTCGGTATTCATTGAGTGCAGCGGTGATGACATTGGAATATCTTTCTTTCGAAGCAGCAGCGTAACAATCAAAGGACTAACGATATCAAAATGCGGAGCGCCACACATGGGTACATCGCTTTATAACTTCACCTTCCTCGCTGTTTTACATTTCGTTTACACTCGAGATATTGAATTTTATGATGTTTCTGTGTCATATAATTCCGCGCTTGGGGTGAATCTGTACGATGTTGGTGGAAAGGTCAAGTTCTCTGCGTCGGAATTCACATCGAACAAAGTGGTACCAGATAAAGACATGTCGGTGCCACTTGGTCCAACACGTTGGGCAGGCGGAGGGATCTATGTGCAATTTACATACTGTGGATCAATGTATGGTAACGGGTGCAATGACAGCGATGATATAGAACACCAGAAATATATTCATCACAATAACTATGTCTTTCAAGATTGCATATTTTCCAGCAATTATGCACCAGAACCACCACAATTACCAGATATTAAGAACACGGACTTTCTGCCACCACAGAAAACAGACCACATGTCTTTAGGTAGAGGAGGAGGTGTGTCACTGTACCTTAGAGGCAACGCTAGTCATAATAGCTTTTTGGTTGACAACTGTTCCTTTATCGATAATTATGCTATTTGGGGTGGAGGGTTCTTCACAGAAATTGTCGATTCTTGCTTCCAAAATAAGGTCGTAATAACCAAAAGTACTTTTACAGGAAACAAAGCTAAGTGGGCTGGAGGAGGGATGAGGTATGGTCTAATCCAAGTGTTCTCCAACATGCAACCATTTAACAATGGTACATTCATGAATACTACATTTGAACAAAACTCGGCTGTATGGGGAGGCGCCACATCAGTGTACGCAACAGAAGAACCTTTAACAATAGACAGCAGAGCAAGCAGCCAGATCCATTTCTCTGGTTGTACCTGGATAAACAATACTGCTTCGAATGGTGCTGCAGTTGGAGGTGCTTCCTGGAAAATACTCAGTGCTGGTGGTGTTGTTGTTCCAGTATTTAAGGACACCCTCTTTAGAAATAACCACATATTTGACTACAAATCAGAAAATCTAAATACTTCTTCAAACTTTTCCTACTCTGTGATTAAAGGTCAAGGAACAATTTGTACCAATGCAATGCCATTCTATTTTGAGGGTAAAAATCAGTTTCTTGATAATGTTGGAACAGTGTTTTTGATGATAGATGCAGTCTTGACTGCTGCAGCAGGTTCCATGGAATTTATCAGAAATCAAGGGCATGATGGGGGAGGTATCTCGCTTCTAGGACAGTCTTGGATTAATGTCAATCCTGGATCCAATTTCTTGTTTTCAAAGGTATGTAGATATTTTTTTAATTTGTTTTTCAATTTCTTCTAGATTCTGATTGGCTGCCATTGTCTCTCAGATCAGCAGGTTAAATTGATAAATTAATTGCCCTATTTCACTATGACGTCACTGCTTGTTTATGTGGGGGATAGAATCGCCAAATCCATTAGAAAATTCAACAAAATTTGCTCCTAGTGAAACAGTTTAATCTAAAATGGCCTGGTTTTCAGATATAATATGTGTTAATATGTACTAAAAAATATTCCGAGCGTTTGCTGGCTATTCTACTTCTCTTCGTGGATTGATTTGGGTTTTAGGAAAATTTTCGGTGAATTTGCGTTGATTTGACCCCCTCCGACGACCATGATCCTTTGCGTTTAAACAATAGATTGTTTTGATGCGACGTCATAATGAAATAGGGCAATTCAAACCATCCATTCGTTAGAATCGCTCAAAATTTTAGGAACTACCAAAAGGTCATACTTTTGAATGAAAGCCAATATGTTCATTACTTCATTTCCATGAAAACAAAATGTCTAAAAACATGGCGGCCATTTTGGTTGATCTTGAAAAGAAACCTAAACTTTTATACCCTGTGAGCAGAGTTTTTTTTCTGAACCCTAGCCAGCCCACGGAGGGTTCAGAAAAAAAACCTCTCCTCGCAGGGTAACTTTTATTTACATCAACCAACACGGCAGATAAAATGTCATGTACCCCCAAAATCTTCTCATATTGGTTTCTCATAGCTTTCTGTTCAACCTGGTACACTGTACCACTGCGTACTTGGGGTGGTGAATAGCAATAGTTACATTTTCTTGCTTTTTTGTTTCTATTTTTAGAATACAGCTCTCAGAGGAGCAGGTATCTTTGTGCAAAATCCTGGCACCCCCAACAGAGTGGCATCAAAAAATTGCTTCATTACATATAATGCCCCAACCACCTTAGAGACCCTTGTATCTCCAGACAAATGGAAAACTTTCTTCAACTTCTCAAACAATAATGCTTCAGTTTCAGGTAAATATATTTAGAATAATTTAAATAGGACACTTGCATGATGGCGTCATTTGACTCCCACTACCAGAATCACTTGTAGACTATCTTTTGTTCAGTTAATTAGCACCAAGTGCCTTACTATTGTCATAAATTTGAATAAAGGAAATTCGCAAACTATTTTTGTGGTGGGAATCCAAACACTATCATGCAACGTCATATTTTGTTCCATATTTTAGTTATCCAATGGATAGTTTTAGTTTTTCTTGCTCATTGATTGGTTGCAATCATTCCCAAGAGGGTTAAATGACAAAGACATGGCAGCCATGTTGTTGGTATTAAACATGGATGCTTATGAGCCTTTAGTTAAATACCATCAACATGGTCGTGATGATGCAATGTACAAATGACGAAAAGCGCAGGGTACAGAAGACATCATAATAACGAAGACATATGCAAAATTTAGACAAACTCATACTTTACTTTCAGCTGATAATTTTCATAGTCAATTGCAGTAGTTGTTTGCTTAAATTAATTGGTTTATTTTTGTAACTCGAAATAAAGATACTAAAATCGGTCCATATAAGACTTGAAATGGTTAAATGTAATGCAATGCTTGTCTAGCTATTTTTAAAATCTGTGTGCAGTGCTATTGTACTATCAGCCTATGATCCCATGCATTGTCTAGTGCACACACAGTTACGGTTGAATATTTATTGCATATCAACTATCAAGTTTGTTTATGAATTTAGACACTGGCTATGTTAAAAATTAGTTATCATGATGCCATTCATTTCCAGTATTTGACTTGCCTCTATTCATTCATTTCCTCAAGATGTGATAGTCCCCTTAACAGTTTCATCTTTCATCATTTCATTTTTTTTGTGCCATCTTGAAGGGTAAATGTGCCTGTATATTGAAGCAAGAATGGTGATGACCTTGCAATGATAGAGACTGATATGGAAAACTGTCCAAGGTGTTAAAAAAAGTCTATCATTGCAAGGTCACCATTGCTCTTGCTTTAATGCACTGACATGTTTATATCTTTCAAGATGACTCAGGGAACTGTGAAGGGGAATATTATATCTTTAGGAAATGAATGAATAGACTCTTTGCACAATTGTTTAACAAATACATGTCAACATGTTAGCAGTACCCTCAACGAAGCTTTAGAAATGTGTTGCATTATGAGGCCATTTTTATGGACTTTGACAGTCTGTCAACATTTGTATGCATCAAGAAACGAAAGAAATTTGAAAATTAACAAGACAATTAAGGTTGTCTATCACTTTTTACTTCCACCAATAGAAAAAAACAACATATAAGTATTATAAGCGTCCCCAAACAGCCCCATGGTGCAACACGTTCTGCATCTCCGGAAAAACTAATAGCTTTGCAACCTTTTCAGACTTTTGGTTTCTATTTCTTTTTTGATTTGATAAATTTTGTTGTTGTAGGGCATTCTATTTATTCCTCAACCTTAAAATATTGTGGATGGTACATGGAGGTTTATGGATTCCATGACAAACAGCTGTTCAACTGGTCTAATTTTGTCTACGAGAATGTATCGCCTCTTGTTGGCAATGAAATAGCAACAGACCCAGTCCAGATATCTTTGAACAAAGAAGACTGGGTTGACATGTCACCTAGTGATATAACCAACCCAGCTGTTAGACTAGTAGATGAACGCAATCAGGCCATACCAGGTAAGTTATTGGTGGAAAAGGCTAGATTCATGAGGTACTTGTAGTGCAACATGAAGAACTGTGTGCATGCTTTTGGAAATAAAGTGGAGTTCCGTTCGTTGAACCCTACCCTGCGAGTAGGGCAGACTGGTCGAGGATAAAAAAAATTGTCCGGGAGATAGTGGAATTCCGTTCGTCGAACCCTACACTGAGAAACGAGGTTATTATTATTAGACTGGTCAGGGAGGAAAAATACCCAGAATGCCCAGAAGCGATCGCTTTTCATGTTGAGCATGCACGGCCAAAAACCAAAACGGAGAGCAGAAATAGGCTGGAAACAGGCTACATGAACCCTGGATATCTTATATCTTCCAGTCATCTCAAACTTCAGACAGCGTCCCGTGGACTTGCATCTCTACGACATTTTGCCCTGGATATCTTGAATCCCCCATTATTTTGAGCCTTTTTTCTGGTTCCTCGATAATGGGACCCTACCTTATTTTTAGAATCCTCATTACCTAGTAGCCAATCCGAAACAGGTTATGTAATAAAAATATTTGCATTGCATCTTGTTGCGCAGAATGCACAAACGTTAACTGATAGCGATGCTAAATCCACTTGTCACCAAATTATTGTTTTTCCTTAGGTATTGTCAACATCAAAATCCAAAATACCAACATTTCCAACGCCCAAGTAGACGTGAGTTCTGGCCCGTTTTTTCCCGCCAAAGAAAACATCTACTCCTTCAAGCTTAGCGGGAAAGAGAACGTCCCCTTTTCCCTGTCCATACAGACAGTCACTGGTCGCATTGTCAAGGCAATTATTCCTGAAGTGACACTTAAGGACTGTAGACCAGGATACCGCCTTCAAGAAAACTCCAAATGCGTGTGTCTCAGATCTCCACAAGACTCCACCGTCGACAGCGGTATTACTCGTTGCCAGGGAGACCGTCATGTGTTCATCCGCAAAGGTTTATGGGCAGGTACCATTGATGGTACGTCAGAAACATTCACAACAAGTACTTGCCCCGCGATGTACTGCAACTACCGCTGTCCACCAAATATGTTTTGTGCACCTCATGAGTATCTATACTTGGAAGATGCTGACAGACAGTGTGACGGGCATCGCACCGGGGTCCTATGCGGCAAATGTCGCCCAGGTTACAGTGTTGTCCTGGGCAGTGATGATTGTAAGGTGTGTCCAGAAGGATACGCTTGGATTGGATATTTCTCTCTCTTTCTCATTGCCGGTACTTTGGTGGTGATAGCCGTTCTTCTGCTCAATGTTGATATTTCTACAGGACAGTATACTGGTTGCTTGTTCTTCTATCAAGTGGTTTTGCTTTTGGTACGAGATGGTTTTGAACCTGATCCTATATTGAGCTTTCTCATTGGCCTGGCTAACGCCCAAGTTGGTCTTGGTGCTTGTATGTGGAATGGAATGACAGATCTGCAGAAGCTGGGCTTAACCTACGTCCTTCCTGCTTACATCCTCTTCCTCTGTATCGTCGTTATCTTCTTATCTAGGTTCCCTAGCTGTGTCTTCTCTCGCCGCTCAGCCCTCCGTGCCTTTACAACACTCTTCCTCGTCTCGTACACCACGTTTACCTCAGTTTCCCTTGAGCTTCTACATTTCACGACTCTACACGGCAAAAACGTGCTCTACAAAAGTGGTGAAGTTGAATACTTCAAAGGTGAACACGTTGGGTACGGAATACTCGCCATCATTGTCTGTGTCGTAATCGTGTTTCCTTTCCCCTTATGTCTTTGTTTGGTGCAGCCTCTTTCATATCTCAAACCAGGTCTCGGAGGTGGAAAGCTAAAACCATTTCTAGACATCTTCCAGTATTGCTATCAAATTCGCTACCGTTGGTTTTCAGGTGTCTATTATCTTGCTCGTATAGTTCTACTTCTGATTTATACCTTTACCTCGGATTCAACTCTCATGCACAGCCTTCTCTGTCTTTCCTGTATCGTGTTACTAACGCTCCAAACAAACATCCGTCCTTATGGATCCACAAATCGTGACAAAGAACCACCCAACAGGGGAACATGGCTCAACCTATTAGATTCTCTGATTCTGATGGATCTCGCTCTTATTGCTTTATTGGGCTCTTTCTCTGCGTCCAGTGAAAGTGCATTGACATTGATAGACTCGGGTGGATACTCCGTTGCAGATTATTTATGCATTTTCTTAATGTGGCTTCCAGCTCCTTACTTTATTGGGGTCATTGGTCTGAACTTGTACCTTGGTGCCAAGAAAAAACTTGAAAGAATCCAGAGATCTTCCCTCAGGAATTCCAGTCCACTGACGGAAACGTCCGGCGATCCAACTTCTGTTTCATGAGAGAATTCGAAAGCCTGTAAAGACTCCTTGAAAGGACTGAGCAAATGTTTTTTTTTTTAATATTTATGTTTTTGCAACGAAAAATGTAACGAGAATTTTTAATTGCTCGTAACAACTAAATTAGCCCGCAGTTTAATTAACTCTATCCTGCTAGCAGAGGTGTTTTTCTGCCCACCGTCTGCCGTTTGCCAGAGAGGAAGAAAAAACAACCTCTACTCGCAGCTAATTAACTCTGCCTTATATGCTAAGCCTTTTATTAATTCAATGATAACGAATGTCCATGATATCCTATTTTAAAACGGTGATCACTGTATTTCTAAGGGGAAAAAATTAAATTTAATAAATGAAAGCTTTAAAAGATGGATAATATAAAGCAGTTTCTTAAATCTAGTAATGATAGAATACAGATCATGATTTCTTAATAATTGGGTCGTTTGTTGAAAACGTAGACATATTAACGGAAGGCGTTTATCTGTGTCGTGTTTTTTTTCTTTTTTCTTTTTTAATATAATGGGAGTGACTGCTTAATAAAATAAATTTGATGATGCTGTGTCTTATTTCGTATGAACGCTAATGGCTTATGACAGACGCTTCGTTTCCGATACCTTCGCAAGATAAAAGCATGAACAATAACGGTACATCTCGCATGCACTCCAAGTAATTGATCAGCAAGACCACATTCTGTACCTTGGGCAGAAATATATAACGGTTTTGAGGTGCTTTGCAGTTTCCTCTGTAATAAACGTAACTCTAGCGCTTATTTGTCCATTTGAATGTGTCTGCGCCTCTGGCATTGGCATAGCCGTTTTAATTCCAGACTAAATGCAAACAATAATTTTGAGATTCCCCTTTCGAAAGTGGTTTGAAACGTTTTCCTTTTTGACGTGCTGTGCCACCCCCTCGTTGATTAAAGTACATCAAGCGCTCATTTTCCCCCATTCAAATGGGGCTGCAACTCTGAAATCTTCCTAAACCTTTTTGGGAACTGGCATAACCTTTTTACTGTCGGCCTTTTTTTAATACTGCCAGACTATTGACACTGTCCTTTCGAAAGTCTTTTGAAACCTGTTCGTTTTACTGAGAAATATCACATTAAATGACAGCCCTTTCCTGAACTTTTGGCGTTACTTTTAGCGCATTTAACGATGCCTTAGTACCTTCAAAGGCTTAGAAAATGAGAGATTTCACAGGTCAATTATAATTGTGCCTTTTTGCTAGAGAATTACTGGATGGAATCTCCTGCTAAAGTAGCATCACCTCCATGATCCCTCCATAAGTAGTCGACTCTGTCAACCCAGCCATCCTCATCACACACACACAACAATACAGCCTGGTTTATATAATTTTGGCTTTACATCCCCTTCTCTCACAACCCTCTGAAGATTGACCGCTAAGTTCAGATGAAAATGTGTTTTTGTAAAATAAATGATCACTTGTATTTGCTGCAAGTGCTATCATTATTTGTATAAAAGCCTCTTGTTTACATAAAGAAGAATACGAGAAAGGAATACTTCGGCTTTAAGATTACATAAAGTTTTGCCAAAAAGACCATGGGTGGAGTAGCATTTTCTATTGTTCTTCCTTGATACAGCCTTGAGCAAGCACAAGCAATTGTTCGATTCATTCTGAATGTCGTTTTACTTGCATTTTGTTTTTTGTTCAATTTCCATAAAATTATATATTCATTTTTTATTTAAACTCATAAACTCGCTCCATGCAATATTCATTTCTTATTTCAAATTATGAGAAAAGATTGATGATAATGATAATAATAACTGAAGAAATATGTAAAATAATGGACTTTATACAATCAGATATTCTGAATCTGTTGTTTTACTTGTATTTTGCTTTGGGACCTATATTTCCACAAACAATTTTTTTTCATGGTTTTTTATTGAACCTCGTAAACTTACTCCATGCAATTCATTTCACACTTCTGATTGTTAGAAAAGATTGATGACAACAGTAACAATAACAGAAGCAACTATATTTATGTAACATAATGAACTTTATACAAGCAGTTATTCATTCGGAATATGTTTTACTTGCATTTTGTTGTGTCCTATTTCCACAATTTTATTTTCATTTTTTATTCAAACACAACTTGCTCCATGCAATTCATTTCACACTTTTAATTATAAGAAAAGATTGATGACAACAGTAATAATAACAGAAGCAATATGTAACACAATGAACTTTATGAATTAAATATGTCTAAGACAGGTGAAAATCCATCAATATTAGAAAATGATATTGCTTTTTATTCAAAATTTTCATTTTGTTCATGTCACTAAAATTTCATAATCTTGATAAAATTTTAGAAATTAATAACAGTAAATTTGATGAAAAGGTATAGTTATCATCAGACTGTGGATTCTGTATTTTTGTTTAGTCTTAAGGTGTATAAAATTACCAAGCACTTCAAAAAAAGGTGCAATACAATATTTACCTGTTAGAAGAATAATTATTGGGRAAAAAAAAGGTTATAGAGCCTCCAACTTTATTTGAAAGCAACTCGATAAATGTGTTGGTTATTTATTGAAATGCTTATAACATTATTCGTGGTCACAACATAATTTTTCAAATGATATGCATCCAAAAAATGAATGCAGTTTATGAATTTAATAACTTGGCCAGTTGGAATATCAAATATAATAAATCTTTTTGGATCTGTACCTGTCCAATGATACTATACTTTACTTAATTTCAAAAATGCATAACAGATGAATTAGGAAATTCTGGAGTTTAAACTGTTTCTTGTTTACTTCTGACAATATACACACAAAAATAAAATTTTAAAGAGGAAAAAGTGAAAATGTGTACAGATTCTATTGTTTAAATACCCAATTGTGATTGGCTAATTTGTATGAAAAYTTGTCTGGGTGGTCTTGGTTGGTGTAGTTGCACAGTAGTTGCAAAGGGGGGGGGATTCTTCCAGAAAACACTTATGGACAAATTGATGGGAAAAATAATTGGAAATGTGTAAGGTTTTCATAAGAAAAAACAGTAGTGAAAGATCTAGAGGTTTGCAGGTGTCAATCAATATCCAATATAAAACTAGCTTTCCTGTTAAGGAAAACTTGGATGAATGAATGAATAAATGAGTGAATGCTTTACCAGTTTAATTTTTTTTAAATATATTTGATTAATTTTTATTTTGAAAAATGTTAAATTCTGCACTTCAAAGTTGCAAAAGCTGAGAAAGAAAATTTGGATGAATGAATGTATAAAATAATGATTGAATGAATTCGTTGATTGAAACCCTTTTGTAAGACAATCATAACTATGTAAGCCCTCCTTTTTTAAAATCAGTGATGTTGTCAATGAAGGGTACTGGCTGTACAGACATGCGGCTTGTCTAATAATTAATTATAGATCTTCAGCATTAGTTTAGTTTTCCTAGGAAGAAAAACGTTTTTATTTTAATGGCAGAATAGGTGAGAAAGGTTCATAATTAAGCGATGCTCATTTTGGGGGCGGCAGTTATTAAACAATTTTGGTCTTAGGTGAGCGCTTATTTGAAGGCGGGTTTAATGGGGGCGGCCCTTAAACAAGTAAAGATGAAGAGAGTATTCATTACCTGTAACAACAGGTTCCAAGYGTGGAGTCCTGAACAGCTGTGTCATGAACTAATTTTATTAGTATTGTTTTTGTGCATATGTACACGTATATATGTATATATATTGCTACTACACAAGAGTATGACATCCGAATTAAGTTAATGGTACATGTGAACAATTGCTTATAATAGTTCCATTTCATAATCAGTTCCAGTTTATAGAAGCTAAAACAAAATGGCTAAGATAATAAAGTATTTCTCAAAAATTAATAATTTATGTTGAAGCATACATTATTAATATATATACTCTAACTTATAGCACAAATTTCTCTCTTATTTGAGAATCATCAGAATTCCTTTATCTTTGAGGTCTTAAGAGTATTTTAAACTCAACATTTTAAGATAAGGTATACTTCTATATGAAATTAGGAGACTTTTAAGTTGTAGAACATTCTTCAATAATTGATAATTATTATTATCATTTTCTATTTTTTTCATTTTTTCAAATATTGTTTTAAAGCTTGAATTCCTTTTTGAATCATGTAATTCTGTTCATAATTATCTTTAGTGCATGTTTGGTTTTGTAATAATGTTCTCTTAAATGAATTTTTAAATACTAGGTGATTTCCAAGTGATTTAATTTTCTCAGTCCAAAAAAATAAGGTATTAGCCAATCAGTAACATTCTGTTCATAGTCAAATTTTTTCCCCAGTTTCAGGTTTCCAATTACATACTTTTACTCAGCAGCTTTTACTCAAAAGGGAGAAAATCACCTGGTTATGTTCAGCAGTTTGAAGGAGGCCCTATTCTTAAGCCATCGCATAAAATAATAATGGCAATACCTCATTTCAAATATTTGTGAAGCTTTGTTGACAGGATTTAATGCATAGTCTTTTCACAATATGTGTGGGCAAGTGTTGATGGCAAATTTTAATTAAATCCTTAATTTTTGCTGATAGTTCTTTTACCTCAAATTTTGTCCTGAATTTTTTTTAGTTTTTGTGGCTAATAAGTTAAAACTCAATAGTTTGTCTCAATAGTTTTTCTTGATATAGGTGAGATCAATTCTTGTGAGAAAGCAATAAACATTTTTATTATTAGATGACACCTCCAAAAACAGTCTTTCTGCCTGTTTTCTTTCTTGATGGCAGATAACTGCCATTTCATTTAGCTTGCATGTATTAGTGAACGATTCGTATCCATTAGGTTTAAAGATTGTATTTTCTTGCCAAGCTTGCAGACATATTGGCCATCTTCAGGGCTACATGAATAACTTAATTACAACCGTGCATGTATTGCATATATATTTATGGATGTCACTGATGACACACTCAAAGATTTACAGCTTTCAATGCTCCTTTAATTTCTGAATATGAAAATTATTTTTTAAATTATATTTCAAGAAAAGATGACAGTAGGGCAGTTGAATTAGTAATCAATTAGGATCTTTCAAGAGTGACTTCCCTTTGCACAGATAAATATATTGAATAAATTAACTTTCAATTGTTGATTTTTTTTCCTGTTTTATTTTTTCCATGGCTTTTCATTTTCCTTCCTTTTTCATCAGGTTTTTAACCCTTTTTGCATTTTCTTGTACTTTAGGCAAAGCGTGAGAGCTATAGGTAATAGATGAGTAGATTTGAAGTTTCTTTTTCTTGAGACGTAAGTGTAGAAATAAAAGTACTTGAAAAGTGTTTCCCTTTTACTAGTAGTCACGTAGCTAAAGACATACACATCGACAACAACAGCACGCAAAAAAGCAGCATTTTGCCGGGACGTTACCTGTATTTCTGCCCTTCAACACAACAGTTGCTATAGATTTGAGACAACTAGAACCTGGCCTATGGCATCCTCTTGCATTCGAGATGTATGTAAAAAGCAGTCTTTGTAAAGTACTACCGGTGAAGTGGTTGTTATGCCCAGGACATACCCTATCTACACTCGGAGCAAGCGTTAACAGTGTTTCACATGATTTAACATATTCAGAAACGTTACTATACGGTAACCAGTCGATAAGGAGTCCATCGTATATGATGTCCCCGCTGAATAAAGTTCTGGTTTCATCTTCATAAAGAGCTATGCTTCCTCTTGAATGGCCAGGCAGATGTAACACACGAATCTTTCGATTCCCAAGGTCCAAAACATCTCCATCGTCGAGTAAGCGAGTCGGCTCAGCCGCAGGGACTTTGTAGTTCTTTGCCGACCAATTTTTACAGGGTGGCTTAGAAATATCTGAGTCGTTCATGAAAGCACAAGTTTCATAGTTGTCTCCTTTTTGAATAGCTTTGGCTTCTAGTCGATGAATGGCGAACTCTTCAAACTGATGAAGGCCGCCCGAATGATCAAAGTGAATATGCGTCGCCACAGCCAAGTATGGTTTATCTCCAATCGCTCCAGCTCGTTTTAGGAAGCCAGGCAAATCCCAAAGTCCTATGCCTGTATCGATGACCAAATCCATAGCAGAACCCTTGACAATCCATAAATTTGCTTGGTTTCCTGAAACATAGAATCGTTCTCTGCACAAAAACAACCCACGGTCGATTTCTGTCAAGCTGAAATCCTCTTGCTCGATTGCCATAATTCGAATTGTCTGCCAAACTCTGATCTCGACTAAACAACTCACTCCCAACACGATGTCCAAACAAACCAAGAAGAATGACTAAAATGAAAGATTTCTACTGCCCAACTGTTATCATAGCTTTTGCTTTTTTTCCTCTATTTACTCTAGTTCCAGGCCCCTCTCTCGTCACTCCCATAACGATCAGCTGCTCTTTTGTTGTGTCCTAAAAATTGTAATTTATTCGAAATTTTACAATTGCTATGATCTAAAGACGTCATCGAAACAGTTTTATGTATATATATATATATATTGATCATTCATGTATACATATATTGTTCATTCAGGCTGAATTTGACGACTTAAAAAAAAAGTTTTTTTTAGTACTCGTGTTTTTCGCCATTATTGAACTTCCCTCTAAACGATATAAGAACTATTAAGAATACAAGACGTTAGCGCCTTAAAGACAAAGAGAAAAAGCAAATATGCAAAACCAAAAGTCTTTAACGGATGTATCTAGAAGGAGCTCGAGCAAATAATTCATGTCAACGCGGAACAATTCGTTTAATTAAAACCGTAAATAGTTACGAGAATACAAGATAATTATTGAAGCAAAAATTACAAAGGCTTTTGAAAATAAATAAATGCGTGATCACGACTTAAATAGGCCTTTTTCTTAAAAGATCTTCCTAATTTGTTAGGTTGACGTCATAAGGACGTCGTTATTGAAGTCATTACGTTTTTAGCCAATCGCCGTTGAGATTGGAATGTTATTGAATTGCAAGCTTATTTTTGGTTTTTTTCTCATTTGGTCGCGACTTATTTAAACAAGGCTGTAAACCATTCGTTTTATTTAGTATTTTATTTCAAAATACTAATATCAATAAACATATCTATAGTTATCCATTGGTTAAAAGAACGAAAGCTACGCTTTCCAAAGAGGAACTCGGGAAATAAGCCTGAAGCGAGATGACGTTTCTCCCCCGTCTCTAGCCCCTAATCCTTTTCACACTGCTTTTGTTCTTTAATTATGACTATTGTTCCTGTATTCTCTAAGGAATCAAAAATTTTAATATGAAAGAATTTTAAAAACTATTATGGTATAGAGTCGGGGGTAAAACGTCATCTCGCTTCAGGCTTATTAGACAATTAAAAATTGAACCAATCAGTGAACAGTATAATAACGCTACAACTTTAATAATTCAACCTTCATCCTCAACTACCGAACACACCTTGCCATAATTAGCCAATCATGAGGCGTTTTTTCTAATCTACGTCATAGTTGATATATTGACAATGGTTACGTCCATAAATAGTAATATGCCAGCATCAAAAATATAACTAAGGTTGACTTTATTCAATTGATGGTTTTCAACCATTCCTAAGAGAATTAAATAACAAAAGACACGGCGGCCATGTTGGAGGATATGACAAAAGAATTCATTGGCAAGTCTTTTGTTAAGTTCCTCCAACAAGGCCGCCGTGAAAACCATCAATAAGAAGGGATATATCTTTCCTACTTTGCCTAAAAAGATGATGTCTTAAGGTGATATTAAGATAATTCCCAATTCATAAGCAGTTCTTTCGGTAAGCTATTCTATAGTTTGGCATAGCTTGGAAAGCATTACATCCAAGGTAAAAACTAAAAAAGGTCTACTTAAAGTTTAAGTTTCAGTGATATTTTGCCATTATATTGGAGACAACGGAAGGTGAAGTAGCATCGCAAATGGGTATTTCTTTATGAAAGCGTCCGGTGTGTTCAAAACTTACAGCTGTATCATCTTTCAAAGCAAGTATACTGTACACCGAATCGAAAATGGCGACTTATTTGAAAAGCTATTGTTCTGGACTGACTAGCCTCATACATGTGAAAACACTTTTATGTTTCCACGTGAACACGATTCTAGTCAGTCGCTTGTCAGTGCAGAATATGATAGTTATTCAAATTGGTAGCCATGTTTCGATTGARCTTTCACACTTACTTTAGCTATATTTACATATAGTAATGTTTACAGTTTTCATTAGACCTGATGATGTTGTCGAGATGACAGCGAAACGTTGTCTTTTACAACTAGTTTTCTTAGTAAATTTTTTCGATTCGGTGTATAAATTTGTTAATCTTTCTGCTTGCCTGCGTGATTACTGTGCTTCAAAATATTCGTCAGCTGATGTTTCGTGTGGGTTAATTGCTGACCAAAAGCAAAGGACACATTGAGTTGTTTTTCGACTTTTCTCTGACAACCAAATTATGAGGACCTTGCCTTTGGCTAATAATTGCTTATAAATATCAAAATTTAAGATTAATCAGCTTTGTGCAATCTAGCTAAACAATTAACACAACCCGAATTAGGTGGAACATCTGCTTAAAAAAATATTCGGGCTAAGTTTAAACGTCCTCATGATATCTTCACATTACTTTTAAGACTTTGAATATTAAAAAGATGGCCATTTGCATAAAGAATTCACATGATACTACACCTTTTAAAACAAGAAATGAAAAACAGCACGTCGATATTAGTAGGAAGGCGAAGCTACAGTTAATAGAGGAATGCATTAATCATAAATTGAATATTCTATAAGAATTTGTCTGGAAAACTAAATGCGATAAATGGCACGAAACCTAACGCATTTTTCCCGTTGAAATATGAATAGCAATGAGAGCCGAGGCCAGAATGCGTTCTGTTGGGCATTTTTTCTTCTTCTTTTTTTTGGACCGCATTCTTGAGAATAAGATTCTTTGTTTGAGTTGCATCCTCATGAAGGAAGGAAGAAAAATAGAAATGAATGAATGAATATTCATGCGTTTTCTAGTGCGCAACTCTTGAACAAAAAAAACTATTACTGCAGAGAATGAAACGTGATCTGAATGAAAAGGTAAAACTTTAATGATCCCAAACTAAAAGGTTCTATCGAGTGTCTGCGGCAGGCAAGGAAGGATAATTAAAACCCTCATCAATGAATGTCAAATGCATTTGCGTAGGTTTGACGTTCGAAGCTAACAACTGCTAATTATGGCCTAGAGATAGTAATAAAGAACTTACTTCTCAAAGCCTTACACGCGCGTATACTTAATTAACTTCATATTTGTCGACATTTTGTCTATTTTGCTTTATTAAATTAAGTGTTTGCGAAGATTTTTAGCAGCAATAAAATGTTCGGCCTATGCTTATATAGCTTCATCTTATCACTCAAAGTCCTAAAAGGCACCGCGCTTATTAAGCGAGTTACATGTATATAATCGCTTCATTCAGACGGGATCATTCTTTAGTACTCTATAAATTATACCGCTAAGATTTTTATTGAACTTCAGAGGTGGCTTTTTGGTCGTTCATAAAAAAACAAACGGTCAACATAAAAACGTGGCCGCCATGTTGGTTGAAATGACAAGACATGGGTCAACCACAAACCTTAAACCAACATGGCGGCTATGACGTCATAAAAACAGTATGGGATAACTAATCGGGCTTTTTCATCTGTTGTTAGTGCTGTTTATTGTGGTGTTTTTTTCTTAGATTTCGATTTATTAATCTTTTCGAGTCGAGTCGTGCGCAACCCATCGAAAGAAAATAATTTGACAAACTATAATGACAGCGGTGTTGACTTCGGAACCACATCCCAAGTTAGAGAGGCTTATTTTCAGACATAACACTTTTTCTCATTTTTCGATTCAACGGTATTAATGAAAAACAACACCTGTTCTACCAGTAGGACAATTCAATTTGTTTCGTTGCTAATAGTAACACAGTACAACAGACGATCACTTTGATATTGAACTCACGAATCTTTGATTCATCGTAATTTTTAGAAAATTCTATATACCTGATGTGCCAACCCAAATGTTCGCGGCAAACATTATGAATACTATATTTTTTTCATAGTTTCAAACCATTCGAGAAAGTATACTGCTTTGAGGTAATAAACAAATCATGGCATGTAAAAATTATTCCATCACAGCGGCTCTTTTTCCATCCAATCCAAATACAACTTACAAATTGATTTTTACTTTGGGAGGAAACAATAGAACGCGGAGAAAACCCTCGAAGGAAAGGGTGGACTTCGACATTCTAGGGTTATAATTACTGAATAGAAGGATTAAGGGCGGATCCGGGGGGGGGGGGG